TTGAGAACAGCCTTGTCCTCAAGGGCGAGATCTGGAAAATGTGTGCATAAGTGTTCGATGGGCTCCCATGTGGTCAGTGCACCGCCATCATCGGACCAACGAACGAGGCATTGTTCTTGTGGTTTGCCGTTGTCAAGCACTGTACGGCGCATGCCAACAGAAAGAGGTACTGCCACCTCGCGTCCACGCAACAGATCAGCCGGTAGGGAAGGACTAGGCAGCGGCTGGTGGCCGGAGACAAATGGCCGTAATAGAGAGACGTGGAAGACATCATGAATGCGGCAGCCGTCGGGGAGGCAAAGGCGATATGCTACTGGACCAATGCGCTCGATCACCTCAAATGGCCCATAATAGCGCCGAGCAAGTTTGGACGAACGTGGACGGGCGAGAGAGTGCTGGCGATACTGTTGTATCTTGAGAAGGACTTGGTCGCTCACCTGAAAAGTGACGTCCTGACGGTGTGAATTGGCCCTTTCGCGCATTTGTTGTTGCATTTTTGTGAGATTTGTGCGAATATCCTCCAGAACTTCTGCCCGCTCCTGCAGCATTTCAACGACAGTGGCCGTGCAAGCATGTGTGGACAAGGTTGGGAATAGGTGCGGAGGTTGCCGACCGTACAAAGCTTGGTAGGGGGACATGTTGAGGCCGGCATGGTGGCTGCAGTTAAGGGCTAATTCTGCGCAAGGAAGGAGAGTAGCCCATCGATGTGGTCGCTTGAAAGTAAAAGCCCGGAGATATTGTTCGAGACCACGGTTCATGACCTCCGTCTGGCCATCGGTTTGCGGATGGTATGCAGTGCTAAATTTGAGCGCGGTGCCACTACATTTCATCAACTCCCGCCAAAATGTACTCATAAATATGGCGTCCCGGTCAGAGATAATTGTTACGGGAAACCCATGATGTTTCACCACAATGTCGGTGAAAACGTGTGCTGCTTTCTGTGCATCAAAGCCAGTGGGGAGCGGACCAAAATGAGCATATTTAGAGAGACGGTCTACTACAACCATAATGACCGTGAACCCACGCGACCCTGGTAACCCTGTGATGAAATCCATTGATGCGGAGTCCCACACGTGCTCGGGAATAGGAAGCGGTTGTAGCAGGCCGCCCGGCTTTTGTGTTGAGTACTTGGTCGTTTGGCATGGTACACAAGCCGCTATATACTGCCGAACATCATGACGCATGCCCCGCCAGTAGAAGACCTCTGCAAGCCGTTTGAAGGTGCGGTCTACCCCTTGGTGACCCGCCAGGGGGGTACTATGAAACTCATGGAGTAGTGTTTGGCGTAGTGGTGACTCGCAGCTGATGTAGAGGCGGTGTTTATAATACAACAGCCCGTTATGGAGCGTGATGTGCGGGGTTGTGGTTCCTTGCTGTATGGCCGAACGTAGGGACCTGCAATCAGTGCATTGGTCATTATCTCGGCGTAGATCCTCCAATAACAGTGGTAGCGGCTGGGCGTAGGCCATAAAGAGTTTGGCCAAGTCCTTGGTAAGGGGAGGATCGGATGATTCACGGCGTGAGAGGGCGTCAGCGACTCGGTTGGAAGCCCCGGATTTGTATTCTATTCGGAACTTGAACCCCATTAATTTCCGTATATAGAGTTGCTGTTCTGGAGTTTGAATCACCTGACCAAGGAGATCTTTTAAGCTGCGTTGATCGCTGCGTATCACGAATTCTCGGCCAAGGAGGTACTGACGCCATTTTTGCACTGATTCTACGATGGCGTATAACTCCTTGTGGTATGTTGATGCAGCGCGACGGCGCGGACCGAGTTTTTTACTGAAAAATTCCAGGGGGTGTCCGTGTTGGAGGAGTACGGCTCCAATTCCTACATCCGAAGCATCAGTCTCGATGTAGAAGGTTTGGCCAAAATCCGGGAGCTGGAGGACAGGTGCCGTGACCATTGCCTGTTTTAATTGGGTGAAGCTAGATTCTGCCGCATTATTCCATTCGAAGCTATCCTTCTTCACGAGATCTGTGAGAGGTGCAGCGAGCATGGCATACCCCGAGACAAACCGCCGATAGTAACCAGTGAGGCCTAAAAATCCACGAAGCTGCGTGACTGAGGTGGGCCGCGGCCATGCCATCATGGCTTCAATTTTGGACGGATCGGGTTGCAAATTTCCAGCCGTGACCACATGTCCCAGATATTCAATTTTAGTTTGGCAAAAGGAACACTTCGATAGCTTGACAAAGAAGGAATTATTCTGCAATGTTTGGAGAACCACTCCCAGGTGTTCGGCATGGCTGTCAAGCGTGGGGCTGTAAATTAAAATATCGTCGAAGAAGACGATGACAAAGTGCCGTAGATATTCCCGAAATAAGTCATTCATAGCCGCTTGGAATGTCGACGGGGCGTTTGTAAGACCGAAGGGCATGACGAGAAACTCATAGTGTCCCTCATGCGTTCGGAAAGCCGTTTTAAAGATATCCGCGTCATGCATTCGGATTTGATGATAGCCCGACCGTAAATCCAGTTTGGTGAAGACCCATGCGTGCCCCAACTCGTCGAAAAGCTCATCGGTAGTGGGAATAGGAAAATGATCTGGGATGGTAACGGCATTGAGGGCGCGATAATCCACGCAAAAACGGTACGACCCATCTTTCTTTCGAACAAGTAAAACTGGAGAGGAGAAGGGACTACGACTGGGGCGAATCAAGCCGTGTTCGAGCATGTCACGGACTTGTCGTTCGATCTCCGTTTTCTGGAAGTAGGGGTAACGGTAGGGTCGAACATTGACCGGTTTGGCTGCGGGCTCCAAATGGATGCGGTGATCCCATGTCCTGGCTGGTGGCAGATTCTGTGGAAGCTGAAAAACAGCCCTATGCTCCTCCAAGGGCGTATGTACCAGGGCTGGGATGTTGGGGGGAAACACAATTGCATCTGTCGTTGAAGACTGGTGGGGGCTCTCCATGGCTACTAATTCAAAAAATTGCAAGGGTATATGGGCGGCCAAGGAGCATAGCTGCCCAAACGAGATAGGACGCGGTGATGTCGCATTGCCCCGGAGTGTGATTTGCGACCCGTTCCAACAAAAATCCATGGTCATATTTGCATAATCATGGCATACCTTCCCCAATGTTTGAAGCCACTGAACACCGAGGACAACATCGGGCCCATGGATTTCCAAAAGAAATAAGTCGACTTCAAAAAGAGTACCTTGTAACAGCAGCGGCGTGCGTGGGCAGGAGTATGCGCAACGCAGCGAGTCCCCATTTCCTACATAGACGCGAAACGGGGGAACTGGATGAAGTACCAAGGCCAAGCGCTCTGCCACCGCCGGATGGACAAAGTTGTGCGTGCTACCCGAGTCCAAAAGGACATTCACTTCCTGGTTATTGACGGATCCGACCAGCTTGAGAGCCCGTGAGCTCGGACTACCGGCCAAGGAATGCAGACTGGAAACGTCGGCTAAGATGACCGCATCGTCGACCTCCGGAGGACTGTCTAATTCGACCTCATTGGAAGGGTCGTCATCATCAGGCCCCATGTAAGCGAGGAAACGACTCTTACAATTGTGACCGGGTGTCCACTTTTCCTCACAGTACCAACACAACCCTTTTTTGCTCCGTTCATTCTTCTGTGCTTGTGTGACCTTGATGATAGGCAGCGGCTGTGCTGGGGCAGGTGTGGTAACCCACGTCCCTGTGGTGGTCGTGGGTGGGTTGACTTGCGTGACTCCCGAGGACCCCAGGCCCGGCTGACGGGTAGGCCATGGTCGGCGGAAGGCAGAAGAATCCTGGTGAGTTGCTGACATTTCTCTGGCCAGTCCGAAAGCCTCTTGAAGAGTTCGGGGATTACGCAAATTAACTTCTCGTTGTACTGGTTGATGTAACCCCGAAACGTACATGGCAATTAGCGTTGGTTCCGGCACACCGGCGATCTTGTTGAGGATGTTCTCAAAAGCGGATTGGTAGGCCAGGACCGAAGTGGTCTGATGCAATTTAGAAAGTGATCCAATGTAATTCTCATAATAATCCGGGTCAAAGCGTTGCCGTACGGCAATCAGAAACGCTTCCCAACTCGTGCCACAATTATTGGTTTGGTAGTAACGAAACCAATCCGAGGCTGGGTAATCAATGAGCATAGCAACCAGTTGTAATCGTTCACCCTCGGGCGTGAGAAAATAATCGAAATAAGTTTGAATCCGGAAGATCCAACCGGCCGGATCATCCTCGTTGAAGCGTGGTGCCTCCACGCGCATGCGTGGAATAGCCTCGGTGTTGTGCCCACCGTTAGGAGGGCGGTTTGGTGGTGGTCGCCACCCCGTGCTGGGAGGTCGGTTCCAGCGAGGCTCGCCATGCGGAGCTGTTGCGGCTAAAGCCGCTACTTGGCCTTTCGTCGTCTGGAGTTCTGCGCTGAGGTTGTTGATGGCTTGTAGCAGATCATCCATGGTGATGGCACCTTGGGCCGGCGTCTCAGGTGTTGGCGTAGACATGAGAACGGCAATGAAAGCACCAGATGATAAGGACCCTTGGAGAACAAGGAACGAGAAACCCTAGACAGCAACATTGGGTTGCTTCTGGGGAGTTTCGTCCGTGCAAGAAGAAAGAGAGAGAAGGAATTCTACTAAACTAAATCTTTGTATTATTGCCTGGGTAACAAAGCAAGGGGTGTTCCCTTTATATAATGGTAGAGAAACCCTAATCCTAATCCTGTCGGTTCAAGAAAAGCGTCAAGGGAAAGAACCGAAAAGAAAACCCTTGAAGGGACTTATAATTCGTCCACCTAAAAAAAATACTAAAGTACAAATATAAAGTAAACATAAAAATTATTAAACGTAATCCTCGTAACGTTGAGGTCGTCGTGTGTTCCTCTTCGGCCGTCCGGTCTGTTGGACTTCTTCACGTTCCTCTTCACAATCTGCATGGTCTTCACGTGTTGTAGGAATAGCATCATGGCCCGTATCCGATAACTCCTCGTGCAACGTTAGGCCCGTATCATCTTACTTACGGTCTACAATGTCCCAAGATAGACTTAGTGGATTATCGGTAATAGCTATCGAGAATGAAATCTTAGAGAGCATAGACTGTGAAGATGTGATCAACCAAATTGCTCTCAAGAATGCAAGGAGAACTTCTCGAATTCTCGGCTAGCTTTTACGGTATGTAATTATAACACTTTAATTTTGTCATTTATTTTTTTCTTTTAATAATATTGCGTTATTTATTATTTAGATATAATTAGTTTACATATGTGAATTTTTTAGATCATTAAATAAAAGTTTTTTAGGGCCTTTTTTCTTGTTTCGGCCCAGGCTGATGAATCCTCAGGACCGGCCCTGCGCCCGGTCCTGGAGGAGCGGGACGAACGACGCCGATGTTCTCCGACTTGCCACGGCCCGGTATCAAGATGACGGGCACAAAGGCAAGGTGCCCATTGATCTTTGGAGGATTTTGAGCCGTTCACAGAAGTGGCAACAACTCAATAATTCTGACGGCGGATCGTCAAAGAAAAGATCCTCTGTCGACGCCGAGGTTAAGGTCGATGACACTATCGGTTCGTCCGAACAAAGGCCTCCCTTCAACGTTGCGGATCCTGATGACGAGGAGCCCATTCCACGGCCGATCGGAAGAAAGAAGGCAAAATCCATTGCCTTGGGGTTCTACCGGGTCCGGATCTGTTTCTGTTTCTTCTCACGACGATATCAGTCGGGCAATGGATGAACAACTTCGGGTGTTAAATATTCGAGAAGAAGAGAGGATGAAGTGAAAGGAAGAGAATGAAGGAATAGATCGAAATAATGGAAACCGACCTTTCTACGTTATCGGGTTTCAAACGTATAATCTACGAGAGAAGACAAAAAGAGATCAAGGCCAAATATAATTTACCTTAGTTTTTTTTATTAATGTATTTTTTTATTATTGTCGCTTTCTTTTTTTAATTTAATGAATGTAATTTTTAAAATTATTGTCGCTTCAATTTCTTTTAATTTAATGAATGTAATTTTTTTTAATTTTGTTTCAATATAATTAAATAATAAAATAATTAAATTTTATTAATTTAGTTTTAAAAGATGTATATTTAAAAATGTAAAAAATGAAGGTTTGAAGACCCTATTTGAAGCCTCGGGGCTTCAACCCATTTCCACTGAATCTGTGAGGTAAATTAAAGCTATTTTTAGCAAGTGGAGTTTGTGAATACCACTTGCTCCAACCGTGTGCTTCTATTTTTAGCCTTCTGTCGTTTCATCCACAAACTCCAACCATATCCCCACAAACTCCCTTCTCTACTCCAATTATAATACGGAGTAGTTTTTTATTAAATAGAGTATATACAGCACCTTTCATTAATAGAAGCTCTAACTCCAATTATAAATGATGTTCTATTTTGTGAAACATCCGTTGGAGCAAGAAAATTGCTACAGTATAGTTTATACCTTCTATATTTTAACATTTGAAGGCTGCATTGGAGATGCTCTTAGCTTGCTATATTTTAGAAAACTTGTTATATTTAGCAAGTCAATCTCATTCTTTAGCAAGCTTGCTATAATATAACACAACCATTGGAGATGAAAAAAAATGATTGGCTTGCTATATCATAGCTTTTAGCAAGACAAAATGGAATGATTGGAGATGCTCTGAGATGGCTTCCCAATTGTGAGTTGTGACGGTTGTGTAGTATTACTTTTTAAGATAAATTACTTTTAAGAACTCAAATTGTCTCTTCTCTTCACTTTTCTTACTTAACTTTTACTCCAACTTTTTAAGATAAATTTCAATACAAAAATGATAGGGGTATACCAAAAGTGTACCCCAAATGTACACCACCCCCTCTATTACCATATATTTTGGCACGTAAAATTAAAAAAAACATAAATATATAAAAATGAGTGATAATGAAGGGGGTGATGTACATTTGGCGGACACCATTATCCTTCTATTTATCTCTAATCTACCTTTTTACTACTTTTTAATAAGAAAAGAAGCTCTAAAAGTTTAATGAAGGGGATGATGTACATTTCAGACAAAATGAGTATATGTCAAGTTTAATTTTAGAGTAAAATAGTCAAATTGAATGAATATATTGAGATGGATGTAGTAGGATCACGAACTTGAACACATGGTCAAACATTATTTACTTGTTTTAGCTAATTTTATCAGTCATTTGATAAATTAATAAAATAGCGTCACATACATCTTATTTTATAAAACTTTTGATTTAGTTTTTAAATATGTCAACTTTTATTTTTAAATGTTAGATGTATAATCAAATACAGTGAATAAAAAATAAATGAATCAAACCTCAAAAACAAAAAAAAGGAAATTTTTATAAGACGAATGGTTGTATTTTAGTTTTTTGTGTAAAAAAAATTACTCTCCCAATCCTAAATTAGTTATCGTATTGCAGACCACAATAAAAAATGTATGAAAACAACAATTTAAGAGTTTTAAGTCTATTAAAATGAAAATAGAAATTCACACTTTTATTTTTAGATTTATAACACTGTCACACTCATCACATTGTCACACTACCTCTATCACGCAATCATCCATTGCCTTTAGTCACAACCGTGCCAAGGCTCGCCACATTGTAACTGCAACACTATTACTGTTGCATTACCATCCATCGCCACCGGCCACCAGAATGTAGTCACCTGTCGTTAGCAGTTGACTGATCACAGTATCAATATACTCTTATTCTAGTCTTAATAGACTTAAGACTTCAATTTTGGTATTTTCATACTTCTTTACACTTATTCAAAGAGATTTCTTAAATATAAAAACACGAAGGCTCCGTCACGTTCAACTTATTCTTCCAATTCCTTCCAACTATTCTCGTTTTCTTCAAACTCTTTTTACTCCCCACCCAATTATTCTAAACATGATATATTTTTAATGTGATTATTATTATTATTATTATTATTATTATTATTATTATTATTATTGTTGTTGTTGTTGTTGTTGTTGTTGTTGTTCTTATTATTATTATTATTATTATTATTATTATTATTATTATTACAACTATTATGTTCATAATTATAGTTTATAAATTATTTTTTTCATCTCACTATTTTTATGATTCACACTCATTATTTTTTCTTCAACTTTTTAATATGAACAAGACAATTTTTTGTATATTAATCTACATGATAAAACAGGAAAACATAAATATTTTAAACTATATTAAAAAAATATGGATAAAATAGTTACATAGAATTTTTTATTAATACAACTTTATATAAGACCCCTCACCTTTTCCTTTATTACTCAAATTTTTCTTATTTTTCTAATTTTATTATAAAAAATTTAAAATCAAAATAGTTTAGAAAAAAAGAATAAAATAGGAGTAAAACATAAAAAATGTGAAAAAAAGTTCTAGGTCTTTATTTCAAAAATAAGAGTTACAATGAAATAAAATGTCAATCATAAAAAAAAGAATATGTTTGATTACATTATAACTATATTTATTTGTAAAAGTAGTTTTTTTTGTGTATGAAAAATAACAATACTTTTTTTTATCTTAAAGGTATTCATTAAGATAACGTGATGATGATGATGATGATGATAATAATAATAATAATAATAATAATAACAACAACAACAATAATAATAATTTATAACAACAACAATTATAACGAGAATAATATAAAAATACACTAAAATAATTTTTTTTAAAGTTTTTATAGGTTTTCCAATTTTTTGCTGTTTTTCCAGTTCCTTCCAATTTTTTCCAGTTTCTTCCACTTTTTTCTAGTTTTTTCTAGTTTTTTTCCAGTTTTTTTCCAGTTCCTTGCAATTTCTTCTAGTTTCTTCCATTTTCTTGCAACATCCAGTTCCGTATGGAGTATGTACCCAACAGCCAATGGCCCGTTTAACACAATTGCTCGGATGGAAATTCATACCCAGCGGCTCGTGGTCCTTTAGGTGTTTGTGCTCAAAAATCAAGGGGATGAAAATCCATTTGAAGTCATTCCATTCTTTAATACGTTGAGGTAATGATTTGATTTATAGTATAAGGTTATTGGAAAACATTGAATAATCATACACCCTCCGTCCCAAAATGTAAGCAACTAATTTATAAATAAAATGATTTCTAAAGAAATGATATTTTACACGTTGTTTGAAATGTGGCTTACAATTTGGGATGGAGGGAGTATGAAACATGTCATACAACGGGTGAGATGCTTTTGGAAAATTTTTTGTGATTGCCTTCCTCATTGATTGAGCTCCATTTGTCACTACTGTTGTTGGATGCTTATTCCACATTGCATCAATAAAAGTATTCAAAACCCACTTATAGGAATTGGTGGTTTCATTAGCAACAATAGTACAAGCAAATATCACAGTTTGGAAATAGTGATTTTAGTGATTTTTCCCTGAGAGAATAACTAAAGGTTTATTATACTTGTTCTTCTTGTATGTGCTATCAAATGCAACAACATCTCCAGAGCACTGATAATCAGACCTACTAGATCACTCAATTTATCATCATCACTCTGTATATCGAATAAAACATGACATCATTATCAGCTTTTCCGTGAAGATAGCTTATTGTTGCTAAGAGATCTCCATCTTTGATTTTATCCAATTTTTGTCGTTCAATGTAATTAGACAGATCCTTTTTATTGAATCCCACACCCATGTGTCCACCTTTCTGATCCATCATATATCCCATTATGTGAAGAGTTCTAACACCTTAACTTAAGAGTGCAACAAATTAACTTGAGCTTTGTCTGCATCAGTCAAGCCACGATATGAACGCAATAAGGGAACAAAATTTGGCTTATACAAGCTGTTCGGTGTTTTATACCCGAACAAGTATGAACTCAATTCATACCCCCAATACAAGTATGTTCGGTGTTTTATACAAGCTGATTACAAGAAAGGGATTAACGGAAGTAGTTAGGGAATAAGTGAATAACATAAATAAATTACAAGATTATCCAATGGTAACTAATTTCCAGCTCAGCACACTTGTTCTTATGGACCATGCTATACTTACACCAAAAATTGTACCCCACTTGTACATCGCAGTTATACACAAACATTTTGATGGTTTATACCGATACAAGTGTTGGTGCGTTAACAAAAATTAACACAAACACAAAGTATTGGTGCGTTAACAAAAATTAATTTTACACCAACGCTTAGTGCAAACCTGCGGTGTATGAGGTACAAATACTTGGGGTACTTATCCTTGTTCTTATTCTTGTATGAGGATCTGACCTACCAAGGGCCCATTCCTTCACCCTCTCATACCTTTCAGAAGGAGAAGAAGAAAGACAATGGCGGTTTGCATTGCGTAGACATTTACTTCGAGGCCATTGTAATATCCCTTATTCGAGGTCGAGACATTCTGCAACTAATTGAAGTGCTGGGACTGGGTACTGTCTCTAGTTGAAAAGAATGGTGCGCAGAAGGGTAATCATAAGAACCATAACAACCAAGCTATAGAGGGCTTGGTTTTGGTGAAAATGCCCAGGCCGAGCTAGAAAAGGGCTCGGGAAAACATTGCAAAAGAGGAAATTGGATTCAATTAACATCGGTTTGTTTGATTTCACTGAGTAAGATGTCAAATATTAGTAATTCTGCATCCATTACAGTTTTAAACCACGCTTTTTGTATCTTCTGCTCCCTGTTACAAATTTTCTTTTTGGACAACAAAGGTGTGAATTCGTGCTATAATGGTGTAATTTCTCAATCCAATAAAGTTGGAGTATCCCAAGTTGCATACCACTCTGTACACCAAAGGCAAACATAGACTTTCCTGCAGGAAGAGACATATGTATCTATATTCACGTTTGGTGTGCAAAGTAATGGTACCCGTAGCATCACCCTCTTTAATTTCCCAAGTTACTCCATGCATGATTGTTAAGTCGACAAGTCGAGTCGAGTCGGTGAAGGGGAGACTAGTGGACTAGTCGACTAGTGGGCCTACTAGTCGTAGACTAGTCGACAGATCACAATTAGTATTGAATTTTTTATCATTATATATATCTACAGTCACCCAAGATAACTATATAAATTTAAATGACAAAATATCATTACCAAAGCAAAATTATGTTTAAAGGTAGCACATAAAGTCACTGAAAAATGAAGAAAACTGAAAAATTAAGAGTATAATATACTCCACTTAATAGTTTAATGAACCAAAGTGAAGATAATCAAACCCAATTAAGAGTATACTTTAGTGATAAATAATTAAAGATAGAGAGATCTTAGGATAGAGAGCGTGTGAATCCTAGAAGATGAAGAAGAATCAATTCCAAAAAATTGATCCAGGGACTTCTGGAACTCTGGAAGATGTCGATGAAGGAGATGTTGCGATTTGGGAAGGGTTAAATGTTGATTCACTGGATTTCGGTTGTGCTGATTGAACCGATCGAGGGATGTTGTATTTTATCGAGTAATTTTATAAATTTAATGAAATTTGGGTCAGGTTGGGCCAAATTGGGCAGGTTTTCTTCACAGACTAGTTGTCGCTAGGCGTGCCTAGGCGTTGCTTAACTCGCACAGTCGCCTAGTCTGCCCTAGTCGCTAGTCGACGTGCAAGTCGCCATTCAGCTGGACGACTAGTCAGCGACTAGTCGTCGACTAGGCGACGACTTGACAACAATGACTCCATGTTTATGTAAACACTATCATTAAATCTGAAGACTCTTTAATATCCTTCTCATACCCAACTCTCTAACAGCCTCTTACTCTTTAGCTCCCAACGTCAAGCTCTCACACTCATCACATCTCCGTCTCTTGTTCTCGGTTGCTACACGGTGTTAGAAATTCATTGCAAGAACCTGCTCGGAATGAAATCAAAGAGAGCTTCGAGGATGATGCAAAAGAAGAAGAGAAATTAACAGATTTGAGAATGTAGAGAAGACGTTGTAGAAAATGAAATCTTCTTGGTTGATATCCGGTTAACATACAAAAGAGGCTATTTAAAGAATTCCAGTTAGTTATAGAGTTGTAACCGACCCAACTAACTGCCAACAACCTCTAAGTCTCTAACTAACTTCACAATAGCTAATCCTCATGTAACATTCCTTTCCCCTTACAGAAAAGATAACCCACCCTCAACCTTTGATTACATTGACTAGACAAATGAATAATGGCACAATTACAAGTTATGTATGCTCAAAAAATTCAGGAAACTTCTGCTGAATTTCCTTCAAATTCCTCCATGAACCATCTTCTATAGTCGTATAGTCTGCCCTTCCCATTGGCTTAAATACTGTACTGCAGCCTTGTTGCCTTGCTTGATTATTCTTTATCCCAATATAGCAATGGGTCGGAGGGGGTATCCACATCTCTTCCTTGTTACAACTCTAGAATCTGAGGCGGTTTGGGTAGTATCCCTATGAAGGCCTTGAGTTGATTTTTTAATTCTGGGTTGGCCCTATGACCAACTTGCCCTTCTTCCTTGAGATACTCCTTGTAAGCTATACTTGTTTACTGATATACCCTGTTAGAGCCTTGGTACATATCTTTCAAGTTATTATATAGGTGATAACTTGCTCTGATAGAGGATAGGATATCTATATGTGCTCTTGATATAGCCAGAGCCAAAATTTCTGAACCCCTTACCCTGGATAAGGTATCAACCACCATTTTCAACTCCACTTTGATCCTTAGTAAAAAAACCTCCTCTTCTCTATTGTATCTCATGCTGAAATCACATGAGTTTTGACAACCAGAGTTTCTGGAATGGAGTTGAAATCTTTTGCTCCATCAACTATTTTAAACTCTTCTGATCTGTAATAATCACAAAAGGATTACTACTTAAATATTGCTCCCATTTTTTGAACTGCCTGAATTACAGCCAGCAATTCCTTTTCATGAATAGACAATTGTTTCCATTTAGGCCCTAAGTGTTGCTTATGAAAGATAAAGGATGTTTGTCTTACATGAGAACAACCCCAATTCTATAAGTGGAAGCATTAGTTTCTACCACCAATGTCTGGGCAAAATTGGGAAGACCCAAGATTGGGAAGAGCTATGATCAATTCTTCAAAGGCCCATGTAGCTTCCAAATTCTAACTAAAGTTTTCCTTCTTCAGTAATTGGGTTAGAAGTTTCGAAATGAGAGCATTATTCCTTACAAACTTTCTGTATTAGCCTTCCAGACCCAAGGAAGTCCTTAGCTCCTTGGTGTTAGCAGGCATAGGCCATTCTTCCACTGCGTTAACCTTTCTAGGGTCAGTGGCTATTCTTTCTCCTAAAATAAAATGACCCAAGTATTCCACTTTTTCTGCTCCAAATTTATAGCTCCTTGCATGAAAGCCTTGTTCCTAAGACCTTGGAGTGTAAATGGGGCGTTAGTTAGGCCAAATGGCATTACCACAAATTCATAATGGCCAGAATGTGTCTTAAAGGAAGTCTTAGGGATATGCTCTTTGGCCAATCTAATTTGAAGATATCTTGCCCTTATGTCAGTTTTGCTGAACATCTTAGCTCCTGCCAACTTATCCATAAGCTCATCGACTAATGGAATAAGAAATTTATCCTTGATGGTTTGCTTATTAAGCTCTCTATAATATACACATAATCTCCATGTCCTCCTTCCTTGCCCACCAAAACTACAGGAAAGGCAAATGGGCTGCTACTAAGTTGAATAATTATGCTCTTATCCAACATCTCCTCAACCAATACTTCAATTACATTTTTTCTTTGTCTAAGAGCATATCTGTAAGGCCTGATGCTTATAGGAGTAGTAACTTGCTTCTAAATTATCTTGTGATAAAAAACACCTCTACTAGGTACTAGAGCAGTAGTTTCTCTAAATAGATCCTCATATGGTAATGCCATCTTTCCTAAGCCTCTAATGTTTCATTTAGCTCATCTAAAGGTAAGATTTGTAGCATAAAAAAATACTAAGCTTCTGTTATTGCTCTATGCATCTGAGAACGTTCTACAATTTCGACCTTAGGACCATGTAGGCCTCAGTATGGAGCCCTTTCCCGTGAAACTGAACTTTATGTAATTCTTCAAAATTCCAATTTATAGTTTCCAGAGTACTTGACCACTGTACTCCTAAGACTACATCACAGCATCCAAAGGGAATTAGAAACACATCAGTACTTAAATCAGTGCCTTGCAGCCTCCATTTGAATGTGCATACATGTTGACATTTCAATGTACTCCCATCACCCACAGCTACTGGTTGTAATGTGATAGCCTCCAACTTGAACCCAATTTCTTGGCAAGACCAATATCCAAGAAATTATGAGTGCTATCAGAGTCTATTAGGATCTGAATGACCTTCTTACCATAGTGACCAGTAATTCTCATGGTTTCATAACATGTATTGCTGTTGACAGCATGGAAGGAAATGCAAGGTTCTGTTTCTAAGATTTCAAATCCCCTACTATACCCAGGACATTCCTCCTTCTCTTTCTCCTCCTCCTCTATTCCCTCTTATGTTAGGTCTTCAACTGGAATTTCAACTTGAAACAACTGAGTTTTTTTAGTTTGGCATTGGTGGCCCCTTTCTTAATGTTGATCACAGAATAGCACTTTTCTTTGCTCTTTCTGGTGCTGATAAGACCTTAGTAGGTCTAAAACTCCCGGTCATGCTGTTAGCTGAGCTGGCATCACTGTTTTGATTTTTTGTACATTTTCATTAATTATTTGATAAAATAAAATATTTCTGGTATGATCCATAGTTCTTGGCTGCCAACTTCTGAAAGGGTCTAACTGCAACTGAGATTTGCCTGTAATGATGGTGTTTTAAACATGCCCAATCTCCCACCTCAACTTGCCTGTCTGTTCTGTACTTATATGCCATGTCCTTCATTCTTTTATGTGCTCTATAGATATAATTCTTGAGTGATTGAATGATAACTTCTCTAGCTATAAGTGATCTATCCACCATTTCAGATTTTGATTCTCTTGCCAATTAAGGAAGATGAATGTTAGGCTCTTGACCATACATGACCTCATAGGGAGTGCATTTAGTTGTGGTATTGTACGTCCTTTGGAAATTGAAAAAAATGCTAAATTGTTTGTGCAACTTGAAGAATAATTGTTTTTTATATTGATCTTGTGGAGTCAAGCCCCGTATATATACAAAACTCAAGTCTCCTAACTATGGTAGGATATAAACCAGGAAAGTCTATACAAAGGAAACCTACCATATATAACAAATATTAAATATACATAATATATTTAACATGCGCCCAACTACGTGACCGGCAAAGGACGGATGCCAAGACTGTGCCTGAAGTCGGAGAAGAGAAGAGATGGTAGTCCTTTGGTAAAGATGTCGGCATACTGGGAGGAAGAAGGAACATGGAGAACACGGACCTGTCCGAGAGCAACTTTGTCCATGACAAAGTGTATATCAACCTCTACGTGTTTGGTGCGCTGATGCTGAACAGGATTGGACGATAGGTATACAGCGCTGACGTTGTCACAAAAGACCAGTGTGGTACGGCGCAGGGGTTGCTGTAACTCAAGGAGGTTTCGGACCCAACTTGCCTCAGCCACGGCGTTTGCAACGGCTTGATATTCAGCCTCAGCACTCGAACGGGATGTAGTGGCTTGTCTCTTGGAGGACCAAGAGATGAGG